TCTGGCCGCTGTCGCTGCAGTGACAAAGGCTACGCCTTGGAAATGGCCTCCGTTTATTCTGCCACAAACCTGCCCCGTGCGAAGGGAAGGGATACCCATCCAGGCTGCAGTATTCTGGAGCTCAGGGGAAAGTCCAGGGTGAGAGGGACTCGTATGCTGTTTGGTGATAGAAGAGCTGTCCACATCTATAACCACTCCTAGAAAAACACTGTGCAAATGCGTGTGGTGGGCCGTCCCCTGGGAGAACTGTGTTGGCAAAGGACACAGCTGCTGGGCTCGGCTGATAAAACAGCAGAGCTCTTTCCTGCCACACCACCAGCTACCAGCTTGCAAGACACCCCTCTTCAGGGGAGGAGAGCGAGTGCCTGATGGCTGAGGGACCTGAGCAAATCCCACAGACACGCACAGCCAGGAGGAGGAGGAAAGAGGGGCTCGAAACTCTGAGCTGCTGAGCGCTCACGGTTCAGCTCAAGCTGATAGGAAATGTAGGTGCCTGCGCGTGCACAGGGTCTAAGGAAGGAACTGAAGTCAGACTCGTCCTGTGTTACCAGTCTAGGCCAGACCTTGAATTTCAGGTCTAAAGTCGACCAGCTGCCCAGAGCCTCCCCTTCCCCAGGGAAGGCACATGCTTTTCCCTTCCACCCTGCCTACCCGTATTACAAACTGTGAGGAGAAGAAATGATTCATCAAAAAACAATCTTTACAGGGGTAACAGAAAGGCTTTGCAAGCCCTGTCCCTGTTAACTTCCCTTAGCAGCTCAGCTAGTGTCTTCTGTAGACATCACTGTCTGCTGCTTATTCAAGTCTTGCATTTGAGGACTTGAGCAAAGCAAACATTACTCCATTTCTTTATCTTTAGGTGTCATTCAGCAGTATAAAGTAAGATCAAGTGGGCTGTAAGGGTGAAAGAGTGAGGACAGTGCACAGAACCACGGATGCTTGGAGCACTAAACCCCATTTCTCTTCCTGGTAACAAAGCTGGGGACTAAATCACTAGAAAGTTTGGCGTTAAATTTGTGCTAGGGTAGAGCAGACAGCTCGCAGGCCAGCACAGTCAGACCCTGAACACTAGTGGCACTACGAGGGGAGTCCCCACCAGTAACAAATTACAGCTAAGGGACTGGCCTGCAGATTTAAAACATAAACCTCAACACTCCGACTATCCCAGCGTATCAGCAGGAGAGAGAAAACATTACAGTCACTTTTCTGCCCCGTGGAGAGGAACCGCCTCCTCCACTGGCACAGCCCGAGCGGAGGGCTCCCCGGCACAGCCTCTCTCACCTTGCAGGGCCCACATGTTGTAGGACGCCAGATGGCTGACGAAGGTCTCCTTGGTGCTGGCTGGGATGTTTGGTCCCAGGATGCTGGTCGAGGAGCCAATTGCCACGTTGTACCTGGAACGATCACCCGGCCCCTTAGAAAAGCACAGGGCTTGTGGACCTTGCAGCTCCGACAGTCACAAGCACTAGAGCTCCTGGCCTCAGGAGGGCAGGGCATAAGCAGACAGAAACATCTTCGACCTCTTACCTTTTCTCAGCCCAGGCGACAACGGGATCCCATTCATTCTTCTGCAGCTCTGCCAAGGCGGCTGGCTCCTCCACACGATAGCTGGGACATTGCAGAACAAAACCACACTGGACGTTCACTCCCAGGCTGCCAGACTGCTCCCTGCCAGGCTGGAGCACACCTCTGGGAAGGAAGCTGCCCCCCACCAGACCACGGCAAGGGGAACAAGGGCCTACTGTCCACCCAGGCAGCGGCAGCAGTGACTGGGGACAATCCCCCCACTCTTCCCCAAATTCAGAGCGTTTTGTTGTTCCAGGAAGGACAATTCTACCTTACTACAAAACAGCAGCAAACCGGCCAACAGAAAATTGCAGGTAGCCCCAAGCAAGCCACAGGATGCAGGGGGTACCTGCAGGTACGTATCCCTCTTAGAGCAGGGGACGTATCCCACTGGGACTCTTTATACGGGGCCACTCCTCCTGCCTCACTTTGCCCAGTGGCTCAGCTCGGCGCTCCCCGCTGCCAGCCTGACCAAAGCCACAAAGGCTTTGGGGGATGTCCTGTTCCCCTCTCCACACAGGAGCTGTGCAGCTGCCAGTGGACACCTCGGAGGCTGGGACTGTGAGACGGGAGCTTGGGCATGAATAGGCTTGATCCTGCAGCCCACGGGGGCTTTAAGGAACGAAGGGCATTTTGCTACTGGTACAAGTAATCTGAGCTGCCTGTACTGGCACAGGAGTACCAGGGACTGGGCTGACAGATTCCCCCAGGCCTTTCAAAGATGTTTTCTTTTCCCCAAGGAGATCTTCATTTCCTGCTGCTCCTGCCCTTGCCCAGCATGGAGGTGTCCAAAACAGAGTTCAGCAGAGGACCAGATCCCCGTTCTCCCTCATACCTATGCCCTTTGCGTGCACGGACTTCCACTAGGTTTGCAGACGTAGGACTGGCCCAAACTAATTCAAACCCTCGGGCCAAAACCAGGACAGATCAGAGCCCTGCCACGACTGGGTTACGGTAGACATTTTTCCTCACTTCCTCCCCCAACCGCCCTTCCAAAAACCACACTGCGACAAGACAACCTCGCCTCCGTGACAGCGGGGCCCCCATCTCGTACCAGACAGTGTCAGTCTCCAGGAACTTCACAGCCGCACGGATCAGCTGCATTTTGTTTCGCTGCGTGGGGTTGTCCAGCGCCGTGTTGCACAGTGTGGTCTGCGGGATAAAGGCAGTTTAAATCGCTGTTATTCAAGGCTTGGGGAAGCAGCAGCTTCCATTGCCCAAGGCCAAGAAGAAGCAGCGGAATTTGGGGCAGACAGAGAACCGAGGAATGCAGCTAAAAGGGGTGCAGGGCCAGAACACAGCTCACATAATAGGAATCTTCTCACTGATTTCGGAAGCCTCGGGAGCGGGCCCCCCAAGCACCAGAGGAGAGGGCTCACGGACTGCTCCAGAGCTCATCCCATTTCCTCCTGTCCCTTGCTATCCCCAATAACACTGTCCAGCCCCTTCTCAAGTCCCCCAGTGACACAGACTCCCCCCTCAGACAGTCACCCAGCCAGCATCTAACTGCCCTCACAACCACAAGGTTCTCCCCAGTGCCCAAAGTCCCGACCTCTTGTCCCCGATTCCATGGGCGTTAGGACAACCTGCTCTCTCCAAGTTCTGCGTTTGGAGACCGTTCTCATGTCTACGCAGTCACCCCAGTTTTAGACCAAGCCATGCAAATTCTACTGCAAGTACTCAGGAGAGCTGGCGGAGGCAGGACGCAGAAGGAAGCGTTCTCAGAAGATGCCCCCATCTCGCACACCCCGGCGCAAGACTTACACCCCAAAGCAGGTCTCCACCCCAAAGCGGTTCTCAACCCTTGCTCTGGAATCCATTCTGCCAGCTGGCAAAGCCCTCGCCAGGTGGCAGTGGCCTGGCAAACCCATCTTTAGCCCCTGGCATTTCGATTCCCTGTCCTTAATCCTGATTTCCTTGACCTGACTGCTCACAACACACGGCGTTCTGCCCCGCCGGGGTCTGGGAGCCCCGACCTGCCGTGCTCACCAGATGCATAGTGTAGAACTTGATGGTGTCTTTCTGGGAGTCCCACTCTGTTGCCACTGCAATGGCCAAGGCCTCACTGGGGACAGTGAAGAGCTTGGCCTGGGGCGTTTTCAGCTTCCGGTGGTCCAGGTTTATTTCAAAGCCTCCTGGGGAATCAGAGTATAAATCCTGGGGAATCAAAGAGGAGCAGGCACTAAGGAACAACAGACAACCCCACAGTGGGAGCAGATTCAGAGCCGGAGGTGACGGGAGCAAGGGACCAGGGATACTCGAGTTTCCCACCATCACCATCATTTTGACATACTTTTCCCCCAAATGGTCTTGGAAGGTGTTTCCCACCACGCAGCTTCGCTATAGGTGAGGAAAGGGCACAGCAGGCTGGTGACAAATACTCCACTCGCACATTGCGGGTGTGCCACGCTCTCGCTGAAGAAGCGTGGGGTGATAACACCCCTCCCAGGGACCAGCCCCTCTGTCCTGTCCCGGCGGCCGTACTCACCTTCTCCTTGCGAGATGCTCACGTTCTGGTAAAACCGCTTCCTCTCTGGGGGCAAAAACAGAGCCCATTCAGAGGGCAGTTAGAGGAGGTTCGGCCTCTTCCCCTGCTCCCCATCACAGCCCAGAACAGACGGAGCCCTCGGTGCTGTCGAGGTGGCCTGGCCGCAAAAATCCTGCCCGGTCATCGACAGCTTCCAAGCACCACACCATTTCTGCGGGCTCCACCCAGCTGGTGAAGCGCCACGAAACTGGTGAAAAACCACAGCGTTGCTGTGCGCAACCGGCAAGCGAACGGGACCAGCTTGACTTTGCTTCCACCAGCCCAGGCTGGGCTCTCAGCTCCCTTCGAACTGGCCTGCACCGAGTTCCTACAGAGTCTGGCAGGGCTGGTTTCCAAAGCAGACCTGTCCCAGCACTCCTTCCCAGCCTGTTAGAGGAGTTTCACTCTGGGCTCAATCTTCCAAGATTTTCCCGCTGCAATCACGTTTGACAAATAGTCCCTGAGCCGCCTTGGCTAACTCTCTCTCCCTGCTTGCTCTCAGAGCGAGGAGAAACCCAGCAGAGCTGGGTTAGAGGCAGGGCAGGCCACAGTGACCTCCCTGTCCCCTCCCTGCCGTCGGCAAACTCCCCTCCCACCCCCCGGTGCCAGCCCACCCGCTCTCCCTCAGCGCGTCTGGCTCATTCTCTGCTTTGACCTGCGGCCAATGCACCCGCTGGAAGAACCACAGCTACCGGCAGGCTCAGAGCATGCAGGGGGCAGGA